GCAAATTGACGCAATATTTGATAACTCATCTTAATCAACAACCAAATATTATGAAACACAACAACGTAGTACGCATTCTATAAAACGATGCAGAATTTATCGTAGCTGTAATTATGATTTCACCATAGTTGATCATGTAATCGTCAGTTTCGTTCTTCGTCGATGTCAGTATTATGTTACATGCAGTATTACTGACATTGAAAATGAATAATAATCTTCATCAGTTAATCTTCTATTTTTTTCACAAGTGATTTAAAAAATCAGAATGATAAATATACAGCAAAATTCCGTTTATATGAACTTGCCAAGGCATACATAGCTTACGTAATTGAAATTCACATAATAGAGTCCATCGATTTTTTTCTGCTACACTAACAATGAAAAATTGAAGAATCAATATTTTGAATAATCGTTATAATTTTGTAAAAAAGATTATATAACAATTCATTTAATCATACATGAAGCGTATTTTAATAATCCTGAATTTGTTCTTTTCAAAGATGTTTTTACATTAAATAGATATAATAGATAAGAAGATTATAGTAGATATAATGGATCGTGATACTTTTAGTCTTGAAAAATTATAAAAAATCAAATATTTCTAAAAACATTGAAAATTTAATTTTTCACGACATTAAAAGTTCAATATTGAAAATTCAAGTCTCCGTTTTAACAATCCCTTAGAACTTGTATAATTTTTTCTCGTCATTTTTCTCAAACTTTATTAAATATTAGTATTAAACGATAAAAATTAGAAAATCTTAACATCTTATCATCTCATCTTAATTATTCGAAGAAAAAAAAATCGTACAATTATTGACTGTAATATTTATATCTACTATAATATTTATATCTATTACATTCATATTATTTTCTCAATTATATTTTTTATATTTATTTTTAATGTATTTTTTTTTCATCGAATTATAATTATTAAATTTATCAAATATTTTCTATTGTCTACTCATCGAATATTTAAGTAAAATCAATCGAATCATATAAAATTTAATTATGTATTGAGTGTCACATTATATTCGATATTGTTACATTAGAATTCGAATTGATTTCTAAATTTGCAAATAATCTTGTGATAAAATTTTCGAATAAATAATAAATAAATAAGGAATAAATAATAAAACTTTAGATTAGATTACAAATTAACTTTTGTTGTTTCATTATCGTCAACATTATTATCATCAACGATACCATTGACTAAGCTGATACTATTATCATCAGCTACTGCCCACGCTACTGCTCACGTTACTGCAACCACTATCATCATTATCATTATTCTCGCCTCCCTTAATGCTATCAACGAGTTACCACCGCAATGTTATCATCAACTAATTTTCTGGTTATTCGCTCATATTCGACAATTCTGTTCACGGAAGGATTGTTCAAAAATATTTAGATATCTATGGATATTTATGTGCTTGTTTTTGATGGAATGTAATTTAATTTCAGCTTAGAAATGTTGGATAATAATTAATTAATAATATTGAATATAATTTAATATAATTTAATCTCAAAGTTACAAAAAACAAGATATTTACAATTATTTTATTTGTCATTGTTGCTATGCGTAGTAGAATATCACAGCACGATAAAATTTGAAATCTAATAAAAATAATTAAATTAATATAATTAAATTAATATAAAATAATGAAATTAATAATATAAAATAATAGTATTTGTAATTATCTGAACTTGCGGAACTGTCATGTTGATTAGAAAGTATAAAGAACATCTTCTGTTCAAAGTAGAGCCTCTTTTATCCGGACCATTATTATTATTTTTTGAGTATTTTAATATTAGAATGTCATTTATTACTGGCAATTGCTGGCAGAAGGAAATATTTTCTCGATCGATTTCTTCATAAGCGATCTCAAATTCAGTGATTCGATCACTTACTTACAACTTACATTAATGATATAAATATCAGATCGAATTGATCTTTTCGTCGAATCAGAATTGGTACATTAATCGATAAAAATTTTCAATTTGATTAATGTTTGCGATTAAGAAAGTTAATTATTAAAAAAAATAAGCGATTGATTTAATCGAATTAATGGAATTAATTCGATCGCCAAATTAATTAAAGAAGATCAATCATCAATTATCAATTAGTTTTTAAATGAAATTTGGTTGGAATTGAAATTTCTTTAAAATTGTACCACTACGTATTCATATAAGTGAAATTCTATTATACTTTACAAATTGACGACGTCCGAAAATTGTCATTTCCAATCGCCACGTCACTCTCAGTCCGACTAATACCAAGGATAACAATACTTGCCATGTTCGCAATCATAAGCTCTCGAAAATCTGCAGATTTACAAATGCTATTGAAATTCTTTTGAATATGAGTAACTACAGTGTGACCAAATTTGTTTAGGACAGGACAGTTTCTGTTCTAACGAGTTCCAAAGGTTGACGATGGTCCCCTGTCAAAATTATCTTTACCGTTATAATAATGGTATTGTTTCATTTTCATTCCTGAGGATCGACGAATAACGGCAGCCAATAGTTGTATTGATATCGAGCACGTGAACATTTTTCGTCTGCAGTCTCGTCTCGCTGGATGAATTACAAAACCAAACACGGTGCATGGATTACAAAAAATCTTAAACTCGGAAAATAACAGAAAATCATGTCTGCATCGTAAACTAATATAGACTAAGTACATATTTTTCATTCCTTAACACAGTTATTTTGCTGCATTATTCAACTAAAATCAGTTAGATCAACAATTGATTAAAATCGAAAGATGTTTAACAACTAAAGTAGAAATTTTATCATCAGGATGCGATTTTATGAAGTTTGTAGAAGTTTGGGAGTTGTAAAGGTGTATACACAATGCATACAAAAATATTTAGAGCAAAGTATATTATAACATATAGTATGTGAAACAAATTTTTTGAAGATTCTACTTCTTCAGTGATTTCATAGTGCACCAAATCCGCATTCTACCGGCTAATAAATCGTTAATTACGATTAATAACTAAAACAAAAATTTAATTGTTAATTGACTAAAGCAGATCAACTATATACTAAATATCTACAGACAAGTTTGTACGTTCTATCTTAACAATTAAATGATCCTTTAATATTGTTATTTTTCTCTCTTTATTTTTGTATCGTAATGCTTTTTAATTATTGATGAATAAACACGATCCGATGAAATCCAATAAATCCGATAAGAATCTAGAGGCACAAAGAGAATAAAACAGAGAGGCAGAGAGAAATATTATCTATCTGCGCGAGAAGAAATAGAGGATTAAACAAGAAGAAGCGCACAGGGATTTATCACGACAAGAAGCGAAGACAATGCCCGTGATTATCGTTATCAGCGAATGATCACGACGTTGTACCGATATTCGTAAAACGTGAACACTGATCACGCATGCGGTCGTAAGAACTTTGAAAGCTTGGCCTATTCTGTACAGACCATGTGCACAGAGCGTGAAAAGTGACATCGTACGAACACGTGTGTCCGTATCTCCAACCAATAAAACGTCAAGCTTTTGTCTCACCTCTTGAGGCTCGAGACAATTCCGAAATCACGATTGGTCGATCGCGATCCCTCCGTCACGCCGTCACGTTTACACTCGCGGGCAAATCGGTCCCCGTGCTCGCTTCATTTCCCGATTTCGAGTGTCGGATGTGTCTGTCAGTCAGAACGCGGGCTTAAGCGATAAGACGAGAAAAAAAGAAATGAAAATGAAGAAAGGAGGCGTACGTATTCGCCTATATATAATGCAACACCGTGATTTTTATCGGAGACAACGTCACTGTCTTCTCTTCGCTCTTCCATCCAGCAACAATAATTGCGAATTCGCGATTCGATACTGGCGTATCGTATAAAAAATATCTGTCGATTGATCGATCGACGATCGATTTCTTCGACGTCGAACGATCTTTGTTACAGTTCTTTCTGATACGACGAATTGATTTTTCAACCAAGGGGAAAGAACAAAAGTCAAGGCGACGCGTTCGTTTATCGAGAACGTTTATTTAGGCATGTTTTATTTAGAAAAATGCAGTCTGTAATAATAAATTATTTCGACTAATTGATTGTTGTTAATACAGAAAAAGAGAGAGAGAGTAACTTTATTTAGTATGACAGTCAAATGTAAATGATTTCAAAATAATTTCTTATTCGAGCTAGTTTGATTATTCAAATAAAATAACAAGTAATCTGACACAAAAGATTATGATGAGATTGTCCAATTGACATTGATATAATATATAAGGATTAGGAAACATTTGAGAAACTGTTCGGATGAAAATACAAAAATAATCTAGAGGAAAGTCATTTTCATGTTTAAATAAATTATTTTAATACCCAGCCAAATAAAATAATATATTACTCAATTTATCGCCATTTAAATATATTTGAATAAAATCTTCATTTGAACATACTTTTAATTTACTTAGAATAAAATAAAAAAAATAACAAAAGAGATGCTTCAACAAGCTTATTATCGTTGTTTTGAAAATAACATAGAAAGAGTAATTAAACTATGAGATTCAAATATAGATTTCCAAATAATTTCTTGTTTGAGTTAATTTGACCTAACATGAGATTATTTGTAATTGTAAATAAAAAATAATCTAACATGGGAGACGATATATAAAGATTTGGGAAATTATATACTCGAATAAAAAATTTATTCAAATACAAATTGAAAAATAAAATAAAATGTCCGACAGCCAAGCGAAGAAGAATGATCATTTCCATGTTCAAATAAACGAACGCGTAACTGCTTAAAGAAGATGTCGCTCAATTTATCGTTCTTTTATATTATTCGAATAATGGCCAAACCTGATTGAAAAATCAGTCATCGAGAGGAAGAAAGGGGAGAACGGAGAGTAGAAGGGACAAGGTGGGGGAGGAAAGATAACAAAGCCTAAGCAAGAGAGAGAATGGAGAGAATTCGCGAGTCGCAAGATGCTTTGAGATCCGCGTACGGATTAATCTTTCGCGGACATAAGACATAATGGCACCGAGCGACTCAATTACGCTCGGATTAGCAGTACACGAGGGGTTCCCCTTCTCCCCAAACCACTTCTCTCCTCGAGAATCTGTACTCACAGTGTCCCTTGCACGCTCTCCACCTCGTGCACAATCTACCAGGGCCTTTGAAACGCCTATATAAAGTGACAAACTTCCTCGGTGCTGCTGTATTGGCGTTAATACGGCATCACGTTCCGGTCAGGTAATAACCACCGGATAGACACGACCGTACTGCAGTTTTCGTACGACCATACATACGTCCAGGCTACAGTTTTCAATTCGCACCGTCTGTTAAACCTCTTCCTGTTGCTGCTGCTGTCAAGTACAACTATTGTCGTTGTTGCTTCTTCACGTCGTGTTCGTCGAAAGTCGAAAGACAAGGCTACAAACCGGACAGTTACAAGCGCGCCTCTTGGACAGAAATTGTGATTTTTATTTATTACGTTGTTCGTGGCCACATCGTCGACCGATCGTCTATCATCAGCTGCTGAAGGATGATTCGACTGGAAACACGTGCTTGCTGATAACAGTACACAACGTGAAATCCGCAGCTACAGCCTACTCTGTATCATAGGACGGACGGAAGAAGACGTTTGTCGCGTGGCATGATCCATTTACGGATGAAGTTATTCGGGTAGGTAATTTTCACTGCGAATTTTCGTGCATCTCGTAGGTAATTCGAACTCTGTGTATCTAGAGTGATGTTGTCACTAAGCGTTCGTAAAAAAAATGAGAAGTTAAAAACACGAGTACGGCTGAATTTCTTCTTTTTTTTTTTTTTTTTTTTTTTGACAAAGAAAATATTTTACATCATGGAAAAAAAAATAAAAGAAGTGAATTGAGTTGAATCGAAAGCGGTGTACTGAATTTATTATTTGAAGTATTTGGTGAAATGTTCAAAATATATTTGAAATCATACAAGTGCTACTATGTATTGAGAACATATTATTGTAATATTATAACATTATGTACTATATTATTATACTTAATACTATTAATATATAATGTTATATTAATATTATATCATGTTGCTGTTATTGTTTTTTTTTTTTTTTTGGATTTTTGCGACATATATTTTTTGCATATGAGAACATTACACGATTTATTTTTACAAATAATTAACCAGAGTTAAAGAGCAGAATTGCACACAATATGAAATATCAAAACTATAGTGCTGTCTATTTTTTGTTTGTTTTCTTAATATCTTCTTTAATTCGAGAGTCTACTTTCGCAAACGAAACACGATTTGACGATAGAGCACTGCTCGAACGACTATCGATCATCGACTCTCGACTTTCGAACAGTACATACACAGTTTGTGAATCGAAGACAATACTCATTCACTCATTCGCGAGTTATCTGCGTGTATCGTTAATATCTTTAGACGCGCATCCTCTTACAGTAGCATAGCTCATAAACGTCAGGATATGTGTGTATCAGCTCGTTTTCGTTGCACCGCCGACTGACCCGAATACCAGCTCCCCTTTTCATTGCCTGTTGCTCGTTTGCCCCTTGTCCCTCTGGCTTTTTATCAACCTGTCAATCCAAAAGCACCGAAGCAATTGTTCTCGCCTCTCGTCGAAAAAAAAAAAAAAAAAAAAAACAGAAGGAAAAGAACACTTCCTATCGTTGGTTCGTCTCCTATTATCCAATCAGCGAATGCACGAATCAAAGAAACCTTAAATCATAACTAACGAACGAACAGCCACGATTAACTTACAATAGCAGGCGACTTGTTATATGCACGTATGCCTAGTATGTATATACAGCGAGGGTCAAAAGTGAAGTTATCATTTGACAAAAATGAGATTTCATATAGTTGGAACAAGTTTGCGTGTTATTTGAATGTAATCTTATATAATATAACGAATAGTAATTATTTAGTAATGGATGGCAATTATTTTATATAATGCGTCGTTTTGTCGTTGAAATGGTCAATTTATCTCAACGAGCAAATGATACTTCTCAGAATCATGATGCACTTGGTCGTCAAATAAAATCGTGATATTTGGCAGATGAAGCAAATTTCTTTTCGGATCCGATATTTTTTAATCGTGTTCCCAAGGACGTAGAAACTGCATAAATATCCACAGTTTATTTTAATAATTATTCAATCTGTTTTCTTTCGGACGAATCATTTGAAAATAATTCATTTGATTGTGAGATCTTTTTGTTTGAAATTATTCTTTATCTTTGTTTCAAATAAAATTTATCCAAATCTGTATTATTACTGAAGCAATAATAGATATATTCATATATATATATATATATATATATATATATATATATATATA